TAACAGCAATAAAGCGATTGGCCAAACGTCCTCTTACCATCGGTTTGGTCGAAGACTGGCCTGAAAACAAAACCTGACTACCTTCGAGTTCGTGAATACCAACCATTTTATAGTTGGGCTTCGGATAAAAGAGGAGAAGAATTTGGCATTTATGCCAAAATTGGGAGAGGTCAGACAACAAAAAATGGATAACAACTTTCAAATCTTGTCAGCGCTCAAAAAAAAGTGAACAAAGCATTGATTTTGATTATGATTTAAAAAAACGTCAACTAAAAAAAGTCAGCAAAACTATTTGGTTGTGCAATGACTGCACTGCCCTAAGTAACTTTTCATAAATTCAGTAAGTGATTTACATTGCTTTCAAGTCTACCTATCGTGATTTTTTGTAGTTAGAAAAAAAAATCGAAAAAAAGCAGGATCTTCTCAAAAAATAATTGTTTTCAAAAAGAAAAAATTGAAGGAAAAAAAAAATTGAAATTTTTCTTTTGCAAAATATCGATTCTTTGCCCAGAAAGTTTTATGAATTCTTAAAAGCAATAAAGCGATTGGCCAAACGTCCTCTTACCATCGGTTTGGTCGAAGACTGGCCTGAAAACAAAACCTGACTACCTTCGAGTTCGTGAATACCAACCATTTTATAGTTGGGCTCCGGATAAAAGAGGAGAAGAATTTGGCATTTATGCCAAAATTGGGAGAGGTCAGACAACAAAAAATGGATTACAACTTTCAAATCTTGTCAGCGCTCATAAAAAAGTGAACAAAGCATTGATTTTGATTATGATTAAAAAACGTCAACTAAAGTCAGCAAAACTATTTGGAAACATTTTGCAAAGACTGAAATTGAATACATAATTTGACGTGACCTTTGCGTAATTTCCTTCCTACTTCTAGAAAAGCGAATAAAAACGGAGGACAAAATGAAAAAAAATTAAAAGCTGGAAAACAAAAAGAGTTTTCTCTTATCAAATTTTATAAAAACAAAGCAGCACCTGGAATGAAATAATTTTCTCTACGTCGGATTTCTCAGAAAATTTTACAAAAAAACTCATTGTATGATCAATCATTTTAGTGTTCAATTGAATACAAAAGTCTCAAAAACGATTTGCACTGAAAATTTACTTTCAAGAACTGAAACAAAAAGGAAACCGGTAAATATCGAAAAAATATTTTTTTTTTATGGCATGAAATTGACAAAGGCGTGCAGTTATGGAACCTGCAAAACCCAAAACATTTTCCTACCTTTTACAAAACAGAAATCAAAACTCATGGAGGCATTTGATTCTTTTTTTCTTAAATTGTTTACTGCATTAAACAGAAAACCATCCATGGATACACACACAAAGAAAAAAATGAAGCAGCAAAAAACTAATACAACAACAATTTTGAATGTTGAAACAACAAATAAAAGGAGAAGATATAGTTACTACAGAACATTGTCAGGAGAAAACCCTACATCTGTCAAACTTAATTGACGCTTGAATCCAAATTTAGAACTAAAATCAGCTTTCAAAAAATTTATTGAAATACGAAAAAAAGCAAACAAATTTGTCTGAGGAGGACGAATTGCGTTCAAAATTTACAATGCAATTACTAGCGCTAAACTTGTACAAAGCAAACCAAAATGTGTTGAAACAAATTTAATCTGCCAGCAGCCACCCATGTTTTTTTTTCAAATTAGCTGAAGTCATTGGAAGTTTGAAAAAGTAGTAAGGATTGCAATGATGTCAGTACTGTTCTAGTCAATCAATTAAAAATGATGGGCTCATTATTATCTTAAGTCTGGGCTCATCTTACTGGGCTCATCTTGGGTCAACTTTTACAATTTTTTCAGGGACTCCATAACCTCATAAACGAACTCAAACTAAATAAAAACTGCAAGGATTGCAAAAAAATTTTAAAGATGGAAGAACCTTTGACTCTTCGAACTCAAGCCCACTTTGGCTTCTAGCAGCTCCAAGAAAACTTTTGAACGTTTGGTTCTCAGACGAACTCAATCATATTCATACAAGCAAATGAAATCCAAAATACTCAGTTTGCTTTTAGATCGTCCTTAACGGACAAAATCTAACTGTTCAAAACACGCTTTTAGAATTCACAAAAGCTTTTGATACCTGTAACTTACTTTAAAAAATTAGGTTTATCGGGATTCAGAAAACGTATGTTGAAATTCGTGGAATATTACCTGAAACTTGTTATAAGTACTCTCGCAATCATTTAAAATCATTACAACTAGTATCTTTTGAGGTCAACTCAGGGATCTGTTCTTCGCCCACTTTTAAAACTACGTAGTCACGGGTAACACAGCGGTACCTTTAGATGAAGATGACACTGTTCTGGAGACCACAAACAAATTAGATTATTTTACTCTCACACAACTGTCGGCTTTGCTAGAACTAACTGATCGGTTGGAAAAACAAACTGACACTAACAGTCAAAAAAGATGTTGGACTCAAAGAAATTTCAATTTTTTAATGGCACCGAAAAAAATCAGCATGTTTTAATCGTTTGAATTTACTTGAACAGCTAGATGAAGTTTCATAAGGAGGTTGATCAAATGCAATACGGAGCTTAGCATTTCTTTGGAGTGTTTTTTCAACAAAAAACTTTCAACAAGACAGCAATAAATAATGCTTATGAAACTTTTGTGCCACCAACTAACCAATATGAAGCTTAGGTTTTTGCAATCACCAAAAAAAACAAGTTGTTCGAACTAGAAATGAAAGTTTAGAGGCTAACTTTACAAAATCTTCATAAGCGCAGGACGGATTCAATCAATGATTTAATGCATGAAAAAAAAGTTCATACGGATAGTGAATTTCTTAGAGATTAGTCGGAAAACTTTCAAGTCAGGAGTGCCAGGTCTTACCAAGAGATATGCTACAATTGAACAAAATAATCAAAAAATTAAAATCAAAAATTAGCGAGAAAAAAAATAAACTCAACAGAGGATCGATTAGGGCTAAATTTTGAAAAAGTTTCAAAATTTTTTGAATTTGCTTCCCGCCTGGGTCGGTTTTCTGATGGGGGGCTTCTCTTCAAACGATTATTTTCAATCATAATTTCTTCCGAAACTATATGCCAGGTTACACAATATTAATGGGATGCTTTGAGTCTGTTTTTTTGGACAATTATGTAGAATCGTTTTGTGTTGGTTTCAATGTTATGAGTAGAAAAAACTGCCCAAAAAAGGACATTTTTTTTCTTATAAAAAAACGGTTTGAAAGGATGGTATAAAGTGATTTCTAATTAGTAAATTTTATCAACAGTACGATCCAATGAATCAAGAAAATTAAAATTTAAAGTTTGTTTAGTCTCCAGTTAAAGGAGACACCTGAAAACTATCCATACTGGCTTAAGGATGCTCTTACGTGCGATTCAGATTTAGTTTTGTGAAATTATTTAATGGAACTTTTTAATTAGTAATTGTTTGGAACGACAACATTTTATGACAACCACTTAAAAATGAAATGTTAAGCTTTCGAGCTTAGTAGCAAAGTAAGTCTTCGAAAGAAAAGATTAGGAAATATCCCGCACTGAAGTTTCATGGATAATAATCGATTATATTGGATTTTTATAGTCAGTCTCTACAAAATAACAAAAATAATCGATTATAATCGATTGAAAATGGATTATAATGATAATATTTTTTAAAGCAATAAAATCCCAATATAATCGATTATAATCAATTATTTTCAAAAAAAATTCAAAAGAAAAATAATCCATTTTAATCAATTATAATGGATTATAATCTATTTATTCAAATAATTTTGTGTTTTGTTTTCATTTTTTCATAATTTTGTTAAACTTAAGTTAGTTATTTTGTTTTCATTTCTTTTCGCTTAATTTCTTTTTTTCCTATTTTCAATCGAGTTATTGAAAAGTTATAAAAAGTTACCTATAGATCGCACACCAACCCCTCCCCCCCACCTCTTACTAGAGTTGATGTCCCTTACTAGAGTTAGATGTCCCTAAATAGAGAGAGAGGGGGCACGTCGTGATTGGGGGTTTCGTGGGGGGATGGGTAAACGTGAGGGGGTTACGTCGTGGGTTGGGGGGTACGTTGAGGGGGGGGGGTACGTTGTGGGGGGGGGGGGGGGGGGGTTTGGATGTTGGATACGTTGAGGGGGTACGTTGGGGGGGAGGGAGTACGTTGGCGGGGGGGGGTAAGTTGGGGCGGGGGGGGGGTGGGGTTGTTGACGTGAAGAGCTGGTCAAAAATGCTGTCTTTGGGCACTTTTTGGAAAATTACTACACATTGGTCGCCTCTGGATGAACGTGTTCGTTCGAGTTTTGCAGAAAGTTGCAGAAATTAGAGTCATTATTTACAACATTTATTCAATTTTCATAGATTTTATGTACAAAAAGTAATCCATTATATTGAAAACAAAAAT